ACCATTGTAGGCAAAGCTTTCAGCAGATCTAACTTGCAATGTCGGCAGCGATTGACTGGCAGGAAGCTCGGCGCCAAAAGATCTGGGAGGCGAAGATTAAGGCTCGACACGGAGGGGTTAGGGCGGTGGCAATGTGCGAGATCGATGATGGCGATTGGGCTCGCAACAGAGGGTCTTTTAGGGTGCGTTTGGTTGATGTATTCGTGTCATGATTTAAATCATGATTCGTGATTCGCGACAGTATTTTCTCTAAAAAACACACACGTAAATCGAGAATAATTCTGAATTATAATTCTAAATTTATAAACCAAACGTCCACTTAAGATCGAGATCTGTGTCAGAGGGTTGTACTTGTGACGTCGAGAGGTCAGGCTTGAGCAAAGGAGGAGGTCTGCAATGGGTCTAATTCCATGGTTGAATTCCTAATAATTAGGATTTAGCCTTGTAGAAGGAGAGAAAATAATATTTTTCTGAAATTTGTGCTTATTCTCTTTCTCTTATATATATATATATATATATATTTCTTAAGACCCATTTAAAATTGAGGCCATTTTAATCTTTTCTAAGTAAAAGGGGTCATATGAGGTTTCATGTGCAATTTTCCGTGAGAAATTTGACACATATGAACGGAAAGATGTTAATTGCACTTATTTAAAGAGTTTAAGGAACGTTTTGTCAAAATTTTTTTAAAAAAGAAGGATCAAACTGTCACTACTTACTATATGTGGTAATTACCTCAATTATTATAAGTAATAAACCATGAACGCATTAAATATGTATACATACATTCACGGAATTACATGTACAATATAAATAAAAAGAAGAAACAACAGAAGTTAACCATCGGAATAATTACAATCTTTTTTATACACATATATGAATAAATGTGAATGCTAAAATCTTGTTGCAAATAAGAAAATACCCAAGGGAAATTATAAGACGGGTTTGAAGTGATTGTTAAATTGGATAATATTGAAACATATGCATCTAATAAAGAAAGGTAAGAATACGCAAAACAAAACCATGAATATAATATGTATGATCAAATGAAATACGTAAACAAACCTTCAAAAACCGATGAACTTAAAAGAGTAAGCAACACCAAAAAGAATCACGGTAGAACTCGTGCTATAACATGATATGAAATAATAGTAAAAACTATAATTGTAAGAAATTAAAAGAATAAGAGAAAGCACAAGAGAAATATAAATGATAAAAAAACTTTGTATTCTTTTTTGTAAGGAGTGATCATACAAGTAAACATCTACTCTATTTATAACCTAATAATCATAACTAGAGGTCATAAGAGAAGACATAATAAATTACACATATTAGGTGCAAAATTAAGAGAGGAATAATACACAATATTAAGAGGGAAAATAATAGAATATAAATGAGTAGTTTAATATTCGTGTAGGTTATGTAATACCAAGAGATGACATTCAATGCAATTGATTTACAATAAAAAAGTGAATTCATGTATTTTCACTTACATAAATTCACTTTTTAACTCAAGTTATTACTTTGAACTAACGAAATGAGCCTAAAAAATTACCGTCACCGTGTGAACTGTATCAGATAGTGGTTATTAATAAAAAAACTTGTGTCCTATATGCAAACCTCTGAGTGATAATATGAAGGAAAATATCGGGAGTCATTCGTTCTTTCTTTTTTGCTTTGCAGTATATCTTTGTGGTAGCCATAAGTTAAGCTAATCCATCTTGATTTTGGTTTTGTGAAGCCTTTTAAAGAAGAACCCATTTTTAATCTACTTTGTTATGTTCCAACTTTCAGTTTGTTATGTTTTTTGAGCACCTCACACTCGTATTAATAAGACGTTTAGTTTATGGATTGAAAATCATGATTCAAAATCATTCTCGTTTTACATGTATTTTTTATGAGAGAAAATACTGTAGCGAGCCACGAACTATGATTCGAACCATGACACGAAGCTCCCTTCCAAACGCAATGATCGTCATTAACTTGGAATGATTTTGAATATTACAATAATATTGTAGAAGAGAGATATCCTTGAAAGGTTCTACAAATTACTTTAAGGTGAAAATCTTCACTAAATACCAGATCTTTCATGTTTGATCACCAAGAATCTATGATCTAAAGCGGAAGCATACCTGAATCAAGTATGATGAAAACAAATCACAAGTTTTACGGTTAGTCTTCTAAATTTACACGTAGTCCTTAGAGTTTCTCTTAAATTCTCTCTATTCTCTCTATCATCACGAATTCACATTAATATGAAACATATATACATGAATTCAAATTCAAATATTCATAGAGTTCTTTGAAGCTTTATCCGGATTTATTAAAAACAAAATATAAAACTAATTGAATCTGGAATTTTGGAAGACAATCGCAAGAAGAACATCCAAAATTGTTCTCAAATCCAACAATACCAAACCCAAAATTGTTAAATTCAAGAACACTCAAATCATCATTACAAATCGAAACTAAAATTCGATTCTCAATGATTCAATATGAAGGAGCTCTGATACCACTTGTTAGAAAATTACTTTAGGGTGAAAATCTTCACCAAATACCAGATCGTTCATGTTGGATCGCCAATAATCTATGATCTAAAGTGAAAAGCATACTTGAATCAGTCATGATAGAAGCAATTCATAAGTCTTGCGGTTAGTCTTCCAAATCTACACGTAGTTCTTAGAGTTTCCCTTGAATTCTCTATTCTCTCTAATGATGAGATGTCAGACAGAATAAATCGTACGTGTGATTTGGGGACCATAACCGTATATAAAAGTTAACTGTCTGTTAACTTTCATTATTTCTAATTTGGCCCATCATAAAAATAGAAATAATGATTTGGTCTCTACACATAAAAGGCATACACTTAATTAGATGCATTAAAGCTTAAAATATCTAAAACTAGGGTTGGCAATATGAGTCACGACACGACAACACGACTAAAAAATGATACGAATTTTGCAGGTTCAGGTTGAGAAAAAAGAGGTTCGGGTCAGAATTGGGTCGACCTGAAATTGACACGAAAAATATGGGTCAATTTCGGGTTGGACCTGCCTAACTCGAATACGACACGAAACTCGTAAAAAATTAAAAATTCATATATTTTTCATTACATATTTTTGATTTTATTATGAATTTGTGATATCATGATAGTTATACTAATAATCTTATACTATTATTTGCTTAATTTCAATGGATGTTATTGTATTTTAGTGTGTTATGAATTTTAAGTTATTTTTAATATGTAAAAAATTAAATAAAAGTATACAATTTTCGTGTTAATTTCAGGTTCACGGGTCAATTTCGTGTTATGAGTCATTTTCGTGTTATGTCGTGTCAACCTGTAAAGCGGTCGTGTCGTGTTCGTGTTACGGTTTTTAAAACATTTCGTATCACAGGTCGTGTTCAGATTGACTTTAAATTAAGAAAGAAACGATCAAAATACGACACAAACACCACACATGATACGAATTGTCACCATATCTAAAACATCATTTGATCACTTTAAATGGGTTTATAAGCCCACATGGTTAATTAAAACTCAATATATTATAGATATGTAAATTCTATGGGTATTGGGTAATCTTCTATTCTTTTCGTGTCCTTCTTTGAAGATATATATTCTATATTGAGTAAGCTAACGAAAGGAATATGTTTCCACAAAAAAGGAAAGGAATATGGGAAGAATTGGTTTTTTAAGTATATTTTTTGTAAGTATTCTTCCTTTTATCTTGAAAAAAAAAAAAAAAAAAAAAAAAAAAAAAAGGGGGAAAAAAAAAAAAAAAAAAAAAAAAAAAACTGGGCGAAGAAAAGAATATGCATCTCTTGATTTTGTTAATCACCTGACAAGCGTTCTAAGATTATCATTTTAAATGTATATGTTCTCTGCATTTTCTTTTAAAAAAAAATTGAATTTAAAAAGTTTCCGTTCATGAGTTATTTTACAAAATTTGAATGCAATCAAAATTACTTATTTAAACACATAAAAATAAATAGATTATGTGTTTTTATCAGCTCCTCTCAATTTGAATTTAAATGTCATAAGCGGTATATCAACTTAATATATAATTGTTGAATTTAAACTTGAAATTAAGATGAAGAATTATTAAACTAGAAAATAAAATCAATTATTGACTTTCAACTTTTAATTGTTATTATTTTTTTGGCAACTTTTTATTATTTATTAGTAAAAGGACAATTATTACTCTTTTCTTTTTCTTTTGTGCTAAGTAAACTACATTATCCTTGGCAAAGTCCTCTATCCAACACCAACATGTGCGATCAAGTAGCTATTTCCGCTACCTTTTTTTTAATTTTAATTTTATTTATTTAATTAACTTCTTTTAATTTTTTAATAAATGAATTAATTTTTCATTTCTTTTAAGTTTAATAGATTTTGGCATCGTTCTTTTCGCTGATTCGAGTTTTACTACGGTAAAAAGCTCTCACAAACAGTCATATCTAATTATTTTACTACAATAAAAAATTTTAACATAAAATTATATCTCAACTCAAATTCTAAACTTAAATCAGCGAAACGAAGGAGACCTTAATCTCTAAGAACTTGTTTTCTTCTTCTTCTTTTAAACTAATTATTTTCTAAATTATTTTACAAAGTCGATGTTTCCTAACAAACAGATGACGTGAAACTGACGAAGCCTCCCCCCACTTGTTCCAAATATTTTCCAAACATACAAAGTCGATTTTTCTGTTTAAAATTCAAATAACAAAAGAGTGCTTTTTTTTTTTTTTTTTTGAGAAAAACAAAAGAGTGGTTGTCAATATTAAATTAAAATTAAATAAATACTTTTTGAACAAAAACGAGTGGTTATCCGCAAATTCGTTGTATCTAGTCAAGACTGGAAATTTCCTGACGACCAGAAAATTCTTTATTAAAAACCAAAAAAAAAAAAAAAGTAGATAAATCTAGGCCGTTCGATAATTTTCCGCCGACTCTATTGACCGCTCATCACCGCATCCCTCTCCCTATATAAAGGACCTCCTCTTCCCCGTTTTCCTCACATTCATCACAGAAATTGGTAAAAAAAGCCCTATTGTTTCAATCACTCTCTCAAAATCTGTCAGTTTCTCTTCAATTTCCTCTGAAAATATGCAGATCTTCGTGAAAACACTAACCGGCAAGACCATCACTCTCGAGGTCGAGAGCTCCGACACCATCGACAACGTCAAGGCCAAGATCCAGGACAAGGAAGGAATCCCGCCGGACCAGCAGCGTCTGATCTTCGCCGGAAAACAGCTCGAAGACGGCCGAACCCTCGCCGACTATAACATCCAGAAGGAGTCCACTCTCCATCTGGTGCTTCGTCTTCGCGGCGGTATGCAGATCTTCGTCAAAACCCTCACCGGCAAGACTATAACCCTAGAAGTCGAGAGCTCCGACACGATCGACAACGTCAAAGCCAAGATCCAGGATAAGGAAGGAATTCCGCCGGATCAGCAGAGGCTGATCTTCGCCGGCAAGCAGTTGGAGGACGGCCGAACCCTAGCCGATTACAATATCCAGAAGGAGTCAACGCTCCATCTGGTGCTCAGGCTTCGCGGCGGTATGCAGATCTTCGTCAAGACCCTCACCGGCAAGACGATCACGCTTGAGGTGGAGAGTTCCGACACCATCGACAACGTGAAGGCCAAGATCCAAGACAAGGAAGGAATTCCTCCCGATCAGCAAAGGCTGATCTTCGCCGGAAAGCAGCTGGAGGACGGTCGTACCCTCGCCGATTACAATATCCAGAAGGAGAGCACTCTCCATCTGGTCCTTCGTCTTCGCGGAGGTATGCAGATCTTTGTGAAAACCCTAACAGGCAAGACCGTAACCCTAGAAGTTGAAAGCTCCGACACCATCGACAACGTGAAGGCCAAGATCCAGGACAAGGAAGGAATCCCGCCGGACCAGCAGAGGCTTATCTTCGCCGGGAAGCAGCTCGAGGACGGTCGCACCCTCGCCGATTATAATATCCAGAAGGAGAGCACTCTCCATCTTGTTCTTCGGCTTCGTGGAGGGATGCAGATCTTTGTGAAAACCCTCACCGGCAAGACGATCACCCTCGAGGTCGAGAGCTCGGACACGATCGACAACGTTAAGGCCAAGATCCAGGACAAGGAGGGGATTCCTCCGGACCAGCAGCGTCTGATCTTCGCCGGAAAGCAGCTCGAGGACGGGCGCACCCTCGCCGACTACAATATCCAGAAGGAGAGCACTCTCCATCTGGTGCTTCGTCTTCGTGGAGGGATGCAGATCTTCGTCAAGACCCTCACCGGCAAGACGATCACCCTCGAGGTTGAGAGCTCTGATACGATCGACAACGTGAAGGCGAAGATTCAGGACAAGGAGGGCATTCCCCCGGACCAGCAGCGTCTCATCTTTGCAGGGAAGCAGTTGGAGGATGGTCGCACTCTTGCTGATTACAATATTCAGAAGGAGTCTACCCTCCACCTTGTCCTCCGTCTCCGTGGTGGGGCTTTCTGAAAAAGTTTTATGTTCTCTGTTAATATGGTTCGATGTGGACCATAAAAAAAGAATCATTTTATGTTTTCTGTTTGTTTGGTTCAATGTGAACCATAGTGGAACTACTTATTTGTATTTTGCTCTTTATGATTTCGTTTTCGTTTTGAAGTTTGTGTGATTTGATAAACGTGGTAATAAAGATAGTATTTTGCTCTAGATGATGTCTGTATGATTCCGTGTGATTTGATATAGTTATGTTTATAATGTTTATATTGGTACTTCTTTTCTTTAATCTTCTCTATAATTAACCAAAGACGAGACTTTTAGATCGAGTGTCGTTATATGGATGAATATGCTGCTAGTATAAGAATTCCCGTATAGATCATTAACCGAATGAGAAATCTAGGTGATTATTGTTGTATCATGTGTGGTGGTCATAATTTGTTTGGAGATCAGAACCAAAGATATGATTTTAGGTGATTGGTATTTTTGCGAATGCAAACTCTTATTACTTATGTTGTCTATCTTGCTGAGAGGTAGAGGGGTATCTCTCTCTCTCTCTCCCTCTCTCTGTTTTTGTTGAGGTATTTACTTGCAGCACCATTGTTGGAATTTAGATTAGTGCACGATATGTTGTTTGTTGATAATCTTTGATTATGAATAGAACGAACCCATTTAGACATTTGATTTTGCTGTATAAGATATGCATATAATGGCCCTACTTTGCTTTGAGGGTTCCTCTTTAATTTTAAAAGGGATATTAACCTAAGTTCCTTTTATGCGATCATCATCATATTGTCCAACATTCTCTGAGATTGAGTATCCTTTTTCATAACCAAAGATGACATTCTTAGGTTGATTTACAACTAAAGATGAGATTTTCAGGTGATTGTTATTTTGCATAGGTGGAAACTGTTTATACTTTAAGGTGTTTTACTTGCAGAGGAGAGTGAGAGCGGTTGCTCTGAGAAATCAAAGCGTCTCTCTTTTGTTTTGGTTTTAACCATTGTATTTTTAACACCCTGGTTGCAATTCAGAACAGTGCTTAAGGATGTCAATAGGGCGGGCGACCCGGGCTTTTAGCCGACCCTCGTTGCTTAGTATGTGTTAGGTTGATGGTCTTTGGTGTTGAATATAATGGAAGGGTAGTCTGTATTATCTCATTCTCATCTATAACATTAATTTCAAAGTTATGAAAGGAATATGAATGTTGATAAACTTTGTATTGAATCAACTTACAAATTGAGATTTGAGGATCTAATATTGTACTGCATTTATAGGTAATAGAAGTTGTGAATTACCAATTTCTCAATTTTAAGATGATAAAATACAAGAGGCTATGACATATATCTAATTACTTTTCAAAACTTTTAATCTATTTGAGAACCTGTGTATTGGAACTTAGCCTCCTCTGTATTCGATCAGCTTATAATTGACAAGTAAACTCTCGACGAGTCTAGCTTGCTACCTCATCTCAGACATTTGTAAACTCAAAAGATTAAGGTCCTGTTTGTTTTGCTAGTTCGAATCATAATTTAAATTTTTGTTACAGTTCTTCTATATAAAAATTCAAATTCAACTTTTTCTGGTAAAGTGTTTATTCTCGCGTCAATTCATTTTTAAATCAAGTTCTCAACTTGAATGAGCGAAAAGAGTGAGGCCTAACATTCTCCGTACTTGTTTCCATGATTTGAGTCGTGTCATTTTGCGAAACTCTCCGATTTGTCAAATGAAAAATCTACTGACTGAATGTTGATTTCGTGCTGAACCTGGTGGCCGACCGGGTTGTGAACTGATCTCGGTTCATGGATAGTCTCTTCATCTTGTCTTGAGCCATGCTGCGCATTGTCATCATTGAAGTTGGACATTCTCGGTGATGTGAGGGTACTCATGCCTAGTTCACTGTTGTATCGATGAAGAAGATGAACTGGGGACATGGATTTTCGAGGAGTGCTTGGAGAACTAGCTGTTTGCCTAGTCTGCCTCACCTGTTTTCTTGCAGTGTGGTGCCACTTTCTTAGAGCATTTGCCACTCTGTCGTTGAAGATTGTGGGTTTGATGTTCGATCCCATCTGTTTTTGGTCGAAAAACACGAAAAGGGTCATAAATAAATGCCTTTCATTGAAATTTTAGCAACTAGCTAGTTTGTTTCTTACCTGTGTTACCAAGGCATGTAGAGGAAGTGTCATATAGCTGCAAAGTATTTGAATAAGGACTCTGCACATGTTTTTTCACTTTTTAGCACGGATTTTCATAAATTTTCGCGTGGGAAGAAAATCCACAAATTCTTTGTTTTAAAAGTCACAAAAAATATTGTCTCAGATTGTTAATCCTTTTAAAATCTGTCTTTTTTAACACTTTTTAATCGACTAGATGCCATCAAATTAGATAAGATGCTAAGTTTATCTTGGAAAGTCATTTTTCTCCTTTCAACTATATTCCTAATCTTTTTTGAAGGCAACTCTCATTTTCTGTTTCTGACTCAATTTCGTATCACGGTTGAAATTTTTGAGGGATTTGGCCATATGAAAGTTATTTATCTAATTCCGAAGAATGCAAGGTTAAATATTGCGTTTAATATTGCGTTTTTCATTGGTCAATATGAATAGGTATCAGTTACTACATGTTGAAAACTTACCCCATTGATATCCTGATTATAACATCTTCTGAGTTCTCATGGAAGCAAGATTTTATCCCAAACTCATACTGGGGAAAAAAAGAAAAGAAAGGTGAAAATAACTATTCTTTTAAAGGGTCACTGAAACAACAGAGATTAATCACCAAATGGCTTACCAAAGTCCACGCTAAGAAGGCAAGCTGAAAAGCATTCTGTGGGAGCAGTAGAAAGATGACATAAGAATTAAAGTTGAGACATTCAACATATATGAAGTTTCGAGTTCTATAGAGAAAACAACCTGAAAGAGAACAAAGTTGATGAGATAAAGAATGAGGCGCGGCTGCTTAAACCAGAAGAGATCGTCGCCTGGCTGAACCAGCGGCGTCCCCTTAACCACCTCTCCCCTCTCCTGGATCCTCAGACCCATCTTTGTTATGATCACTTGTAGCTTTGTCCCTACCAACAAGATTATCTATACAAGCCATACATTACTGTTATAATCCTTCCTCTTTCATTGACCTTGCACTAAAAACAAACTAAGGGTCCGTTTCATGAGTAGGTTCAAAATGTGATTGTTTAAACATTTTTATTTTGAAATGAATAGTTTGAAAATGTGGTTTATGTTTCGTTTCAAACCATTGAAAACATCAAATCAATGGTTTGAATGAAGCCTTAAAAGATTTGTCAAACACTGCATTTGAACCCATATACCAAACAGGCACCAAGAATGACTAAAGATGGTGCTTACAATCAGTGGGATAAATGGCAGCCATAGATAAGATTTCCAGCCTGCATATAGAAAGGTATTCTAAGAGGCTTCTCTAAGCATTATGCAAACATGGGCAAGCAATATTTTTGAGAAATTTGGTATCTTAATGTAATGGAAGATGAAATAATATTTTCTATGTTACCATTGGTATTAGATAGTAGAAATAGTACTGCGCAGAACCAGATTGTGGGGCTGCAAGATGAGATAAGAATTGTCACTTATCAGCAAGTTGTGTGTCTTTATGCTAATACAATGTGTGAATAGAATTGTGTAAATATATAGATATATATATATATTTATATATATATATATATATCAATAATGGACATTACAGTCCTTTACAAAAAAAAAAAAAAAAAAAAAATCCCAATTTTTCTAAGTTTTAACAATTTGGAAAGCACTTGTTGCTAGTGACCCCCCAACCTGATCCCAACTACAACTTTGAAGTCCCCTTCAAGTGCTCTCTTAATGTACTCATGGAAGTTGAATTTGACGTGACTCTGAGGTCCCAAATGTGCCTGAAAAAGTGGATGATTTAAGCTCTCTTGATTACAAGAATGGTTCAGATCTAAAAAGAAAATAGTTTCGATCCAAAGAAGAAGGAGAAGAAAAAAGAAGAAGATGAGTAATGGCTTTAGTTGGCTGGTTGCAGTAGCAGAGCCATTCATTAATTTTTACATCTAACTCTTTTAAAATGCTTCAGTTTATCAATATTAATTTTTTAAAAAATGTCCCTATATAATAAGAAATTTTGATCTTTTATTTTCTTCATAGTGTCCACTGACAAAATATTCTCGCTTCGTCACTTTCTAATGCATGGGAAGACTTACCATAATAAACCCGTGGCGCAGGGTCAAGTAATCAACCTTTGGTACAGATCTGACGAATTGTCTGAAGAAGCAAACCTACAGAAAAGTATGGACAAAAATGTTATTAGTAAAGAAGACTTGTAATTTTATATTAAACCAGAAGATAGTTCATGATAGTAGCTAATGCTATATTAAACTAATTTTATGATAGTTCATAATAATTAAGTTTTTCAGCTCTCACAATCCATAGGAGAAAAGGACAGTGGCTCCAGAAGTTCAAATGCCTTCTTCCAAAAGAAGTGTCCCTTGCAAATCTAAATCTCTCTGGGTCTGCAACATTAAGAGTAACCCCATTATCTTTCAGTCATTAATTCATCAAAATTACTGTATTAATATAATTTTCCGTATTTAATTGTCTTATTTTTTGTAATTATATTTGAGGCAATTTCTAAGGTTGAGTATGTAAATCTCATTCAGGGGTGTGTTAAGAGAAAATACTGTTCGTTTTGTTAATTTGAATTACAACTTAGGTTCTTGTTACAGTGTTTTCTCTCGTAAAAATTTAAATTCAACTCTTTCTGTTATAGTGTCTTTTTTCACGTGAATTTATTTTTTAACTCAAATGAGCGAAACGAACAAGGTAAGTTTTTGACTTTCTCATGCATGCCTCACAGGCCAAAGATGTAGTGTAAAAGTAGATTCGCAATATCAAGAAAAAACTACAAAGTGTACTAAAATGACTGTGGTTAGTGGAAATAATTGCATAAAGGTGAAACCTACCGTTGGAAAACTGGTAGTCAGTTGTTCTAGTTTCCATTTCCCACGCTTTCCACTTTCTCATCTACCCTCCAAGATAATATATAAATATATATGTATATATAGGTCAAATCAATATATAAATATACATGTATATAACTATATATAGGTCAAATAAATCTAATGTTAGGGGAAAAAAAAAGGACGAAGAGAGAATCAGATTTGATACCTTCGTTCTGCTCAAAGCCAAGGTGATTATGCAGTAAAGCACGTGGAAGACAGCAAGAACAAATATGAATATATGGAGTTGGTGAATGCCATAAGCCGACACAAATGCAACTTTATCCTGCAAAAAATTTTCCCAAATCGTAAAATATAAACATTTATTCAAACGTAAAGATAAAAAGGTTCCGCCTCAAGACTTACTATGTCGAACCATATATCAATTGGAAATATTTGTATAAAAAAAAATATATAAATTCGTACGTCTTAAAATTGACATGTGAATATGTGATTGATTACTGATACACTTGAGCAAACATTCTTGAAATCAAAGACAAGTAGGACCAAAATATCGTGAGACATGCCTTGGCAGCGCATTTGTCGTCCGATGCTGATGCTAAAACACGTCGGATACTCTCACCAGGATCGGAAACCAAAAGAAGCCTTCTATGGCTGTTATCATAATCATGAGATAATTTGCTCTCTTGCTTCTTTTTGCATGGATGCCAAGTAGCAGCCACAGCCTTTGATATGCAGATTTTTGAAATTGGTGTTTGCCCTACTGTTAGGAGCAATGATATGAAGCCCAAAAGCATAACCTCTGTGATAGATATTACAAATAATACAAAGATTATTACGAGTCACATAGAAAGAAACAAATCAGATATTTGTTTACAATATCTATCCTATATTACCTGATTTGATCTTTTCAAATGCTTCAAATAGAGCTCGTTTGTGTCTCTTTGCCAACCACTAGAGTGCAAAATTCTTATAATGATCAACACAATTGGAGCAACCACAAATAGCTATATATACATACATGCATATATACACACATATCTATATATATATAGATAGATAGATAGATAGATATGTAGGCTAGTAGTTACAATATTGAAGTACTAAAAATCTAACCTTTCCTATCAAATGGATGACATGTTCAATGATTATAGAGATCAAAACCAGCACAAAACACACAATTGCCACTGCCCATGTTGGTGTTTCCTCCAAAGATCTCTCTTTGGATAATTTCCCAGCCATTCCACAGTCAAAGCTTAAACAATTGAATGAATAAAGGTGACTACATAACACATACCAACTGTAAAAGATATGTATGTATAGACTATATAGTAATGGATGGAGAAATATATAGACTAACTAGAGGAAGTTTGGTGGAAGAAGTGGTAGTGACGAGTAACACATATCTAGAAGTGAAACTTGGATTAGAAGAGGACTTTGACCGTGGACTTAATTAGTTTGGAGATAAAAAGAGAAAGGAATCATGTAAATGGGGTTGGAACGGATTTTCTTCTTAGAGAGATATTTCTATATTTATGATGGGATAGAATAAAAATACTAAAAGATGACTGAGAAGTTATCTATATACAGTGGTTATGGTCCTCAGATCACACGTGATATTTTATTCTTTCTGACAGTCCATCATTAGAGAGCAATGAGAAAGCTAAAGAATTCTCTAGGAAAAAAATGTTAATCCGAAAAACAAACCGTGCGACTCTAGAGAGTAACATATCATCATGGATTCAGGTATGCTTTTATTTATTGGTATATTGATTCTAGGTGATCTAACATGAACGTTTTTTGGATTTTAAGTGATGTTTTTCAACAAAACATATTTTCTAACGCGAGATCCGTTATGAGCTTCGGGATGATGGAAAGATCATATTATTGGATTACAGCTAAACCGTTGATTTACTTATTGACGTCAACTCTTCATGATGTTATGGTTTTCTTAATTACGATATAATTTCCTAAGTGCCATGGGATGTCGGTCTTCAAGATAAGCCATTAGGGAGACATTTCTGTTTTCGTAAGCATGTCACAATGTAATTTCACTCGCTTCCTTCAATTTCTATGTGATACAGAAAGAACCAAGATTTTGTGTTATTAAATTGAAAATGTTGAAAAGAAAACAAAACTCATGATGTTATGGTACTAGTTAATTTTCTCTTAAGAATTTTATATAAGAATTGTAGTATTAATAAATATCAACCAAATATTATATATGAAACACGCTAATTTTAAGTTAAAAAGGAGAAAGGTATAGTACTAGAGAGGGATGAGTTTTGAACACAACGTTTGTGCAGGGGAAACGACTAATGAGTAGGAAATAAAACCTCCCCCAAGAAAGACTTAGTTGACGTCAATAAGTAATTCAACGGTTTAGCTGTAATCCAATAATATGATCTTTCCATATCTCGCGATAGAAAATATGTTTTGTTGAAAAACATAGAAACGTTCATATTAGATCACCAAGAATCAATATACCAATAAACAGAAGCGTACCTGAATCCATAACGATATGTTACTCTCTAGAGTCGTACGGTTTATTTTCTGGATCAACATTTTTGTCCTAGAGAATCCTTTAGCTTTCTCATTGCTCTCTCTCTGATGATGGGTTGTCAGAAAGAATAGAATGTCACGTGTGATCTGGAGACTATAACCACTATATATAGATAACTTCCCTGTCATTTTTTAGTATTTCTATTTTATTCCATCATAAAAATAGAAATTACCCTTAAGTCTCTACACATTAAAGGTCAACACCTTATCAGATACATTAAAGTCCAAATTACCCAAATCTTAACAGATCACTTTTAAAATGGGCTTAATCTTATATGACAGTTTACAACACATAATTATTCACATTTAAGCCCAATGTTGGATTAAGGATCCAACAATCTCTCACTTAGGCTATATGTGTAACCTTATAATTATGCATCGCAAAAAAACTGTACGAGCTCAACTTTGCTGTTATTATTGAAATGTATCTATAACCTATCCGGTCTATCAATCATACCAACATAGGATCAAAGCGGCATTTGTTACATCTGTCGTAACTCGACCCATCAATGGTCACGTATGTCGATACAACTGAATGACATAGATCATGATGTGGATGTGTAGCATGGAAATTTCATGCAATGTGATCTTAATATCTCTATTTCTAACTGGTCCAGTCTTAAACCTTAGTGAGATCAAAACATATTAAAATCATAGCGTAAATAAACTAAAACTTTATTTTTGCAGAAAATAACATCAAAATATCCATAAACTGAAATAACTGAAGATGTGTCTATCAGAAAAGCATATAAAATTACAAACTCCCACTAAAACTGAATATCCTGAAATGACATGACACACGAGCACTCATTAAACACTTTAGATCCACAACCATGGAGTTTGTACTGATGTACTCTATAAAAATCTGTCCACTCTGAACTCTTTCTTTAACAACTAGGAACTTGATGTCTATATGCTTTGACATTGTCAAGCTCATGTTGTTGTTAGAATACAGAACTGTCGACTTATTGTCATAAAATAACTTGAGTGGTCTTTCAATACAGTCCACTAAGTCCAACCCCTTGACAAAATTCTGTAGCCATATTCTGTGATTGGACGCCTCATAACACGCTATGAACTCTGCCGCCGTGGTAGAAGAGGCTATAAGAGACTGTTTAGCACTCTTCCAGGAGACAACATCCCCAGCTAGCAGGTAGATATAGCCCGACGTAGATTTGATACTATCTTGGCATCCAGCAAAATCGGAGACAGTATACCCAACGGTCTCAAGCTGATCCGACTTCCGATACGTAAGCATGTAGTTTTTTATTCTCTATAAGTACTGCAAGACCTATTTGGCTACTTTCCAATAGTCTACTCTTGGATTGCTTAAATATCTGCCCAACATCCTAACAATATACATAATATCCGAATGCGTACAAACCTGAGCATACATTAGATTTCCTACTGCTGATGCATAAGGAATCTTATGCATTTCCTTTTCCTCAAAATCATTCTTAGGATACTGATTAAGACTAAACTTGTCTCTCTTTGTTACAGGAGTATCACCTGGTTGTAATCCTGCATGTCAGATCTCTTGAGAACCTTTTTGATATAGCTCTTTGTGATAATCCAATAAAATCCTGAGAGCTATTCCGGTGTATCTATATGCTTAATACAAAAGAAGCGTCACCAAGATCTTTCATCTCAAAATTCTTAGCTAGAAATCTCTTAATTTCGTACAATAAACTTATATCGTTGCTGATAAGTAAAATGTCAATCTACATGTAAAACTAGAAAAATATACTTTTTCCCACATAACTTATGATATATGCAATCGTCGACCATGATGTTATGGTTCTAGTTAGTTTTCTTTAAGAATTTTATATAAGAATTGTAGTATTAATAAATATCAACCAAATATTATATATGAAACAGGCTAATTTTAAGTTGAAAAGAAGAGAGTCAAAGAATTAGCACCAGAGGGATGAGTTTTGAACACAACGTTTGTGCAGGGGAAACGACTAATGAGTATGAAATAAAACCTCCCCCAAGAAAGACATAGTTGACGTCAATAAGTAAAGCAACGGTTTAGTTGTAATCCAATAATATGATCTTTCCATCATCTCGAAGCTCATAAAAGATCACGTGTTAGAAAATATCTTTTGGTGAAAATTATCACTTAAAATTCAGAAAATGTTCATATTAGATGACCAAAAATCAATATATTAATAACCGAAAGTGTACCTGAATTCATGATGATATGTTACTCTCTAGAGCTGTACGATTTGTCTTCCAGATCAACACGTTTTCTTAAATAATCGTTTAGCTTTCTCATTGCTCTCTTTTTGACGATGTGATGCCAAAAAGAAGAGAATATCACGTGTGATCTGTTATCTTTTAGTAATTCTATTTTAGCTCATCGTAAAAATAAAAATTACCTTTAAGTCTCTATACATTAAATACATATACCTTATCAGATACGTTAAAGACCAAATTACCTAAACTTTATATATCATTTTTAACGAGTTTAACCTTATATGACAATCTGCAACACATAATTATTCACAAATAATTATTCATATATTAGTCTAACGTTGAATTAAGGATCCAACATCTCGTCCATACTTGTACAAATCAAATATTTTAACACAATCAAAATATCAAAAATACCCCTGAATTTATTTTATTTTTTTAAAAAAGAAACTCTGTCTCTCTCCTCTCTCCCCGATTCTCCTCTTTCTCTCTCTGATTCTCTCTCACTCATCTATTGCCGTAAAACTAATCTCAGTCTGCTCCGTAGACCAGTCATAGAGAACTCCGGTGATCGCTACAGACCTTGATCACGATGTCTAGTATTGGGCACGACGACACCGTTTGCAGAAGACGTTCCCCAGCTCGCGATCACCGGAAGCAGTGACTTGGGATCTCCTCCGTGGCGGAGGCTCAGGATCTCCTCCGAGAGCAACTCACGTTACCAAGCGAGAAGAGGGAGATAAGGCATGCAATATCAGAGAAAGCACAAGGAGGAGAGAGAGATCTAGAGAGAGAGAGAGAGAGAATTGTTTCTTCTTTAGGACTTGAGGAAAGAGAGAGAGTGAGTTGTTTCTTCTTTAGGACTTGGGGAGAGAAAGAGAGAGTTGTTGTTGCTGTTGTTTTTTTTTTTTTCTTTTTTTCTTTTTTTCGAATTAGGATTTTCAAATTTTGGAAGAAGAATAAGGATAAAATGGGAAAATTAAATTCATTTTTTTGAGAATCTGTGATTTAAGCTTTAAGTGTGTGTGTGTGTGTATATATATATATATATATATCACAATTTCTCTTAAGAAAGAGAACAATTACTAACATAATCAACTCAGTTTGCACAAGCAAAAGTTCACGAAACAAATAACCCAGAAAAAATACCCTCATATATATAAACATACATATATAAATATATCTATAAATATAATAGAACAAATTCCCAAAAAATACCCCAAACTCGTATTTGTCCGTTTATCCTGAATAATCTTAGATAAAACACGCACAGCGCTGATTATTTTTCTGACTGATCGTTTCATGCTCTCAGATGAATATTAATCCCCAATTCTGCTTCTGCTTGTCTCGGAGATGACAAGAAATTCAACTTGGACTATTATTCTATCTTTCAATATGAACAAAACACCGAAACGTCTTGGAGGACGAAACGGTGATAATACATTATGTTGATGGCTGAATTCCGTCAACAGAAATATGCCGGG